TCACCCTCCTGGCCCACCCCGCACCTAACGCCCGGACCACTCTCACAACAGACGCTTCTTCTACTGCAGTGGGCGCCGTCTTACAGCAGGAGATCAACGGAATTCTCATGCCCGTTGCTTTCTTCTCACAACGGTCAAACCCAAAGGCTTGGGTGACCAGGAATTTATTCTCTGAGTGGGTGATTGAGGTGTTTGGACCCAGTGTTCTGGAATACCTCAGGGAGAATAATCTTCCACTGAAAGCTTTGTTGGTAATGGACAATGCACCAGCCCACCCTCCTAATTTGATGGTTGAATTGCCAGAGGAGTTCAACTTCATCACTGTGCACTTCTTGTCACCCAACACAACACCTCTCATCCAGCCCATGGATCAACAGGTAATTTCTAACTTTTAAGAAGCTGTAAACAAAGGCACTGTTTAGAAAATGTTTTGCGTCCACTTCTTCCAGTGATGTTAGTTTGAAGGAATTCTGGAAGAGTCACTTCAATATAGCAGATGCTGTTTTTTTAATTACCTCAGCCTGGAAAGAGGTTACTGTGAGGTGTCTTTGTGCTGCTTGGAGGCCATTGTGGCCTGAATGTGTGCTTCAAAGTGACTTTGAAGGCTTCGAAGAGTTAGAAGAAGAGGCTGTTGTTCATGAAATTGTGTCTCTGGGCAATTCCATGGGCCTGGAAGTGGATGATGATGATGTTGAGGAGTTGGTGGAAGAGCACAGTAAGGAACTGTCCACTGAGGAGCTGCTTGAGCTTCACAAAGAACAAAACGAGACACTGAAGCGGAGCTTAATTTCTGAGGAGTCAGGGGAGGATGAGGACAAGGAGGAAAGCCGCATAATTCCAGCCAAAGATCTCAAGGATGCGTTCTTTTGCTGGAGCAAACTGTCCAAACTTGCTGAGGATTATCATCCTGATGTTGGTTCTGTGCAAAAGGCCATCAGTGTGTTTAACGACAATGTTATGAACTACTTTTGGAAGGTCCAGAAATCAAGGTTGAAGCAGCCAACCCTGGATTCCTTCTTTAAAAAGGTAACAAAAGAACCTACAGACAAAGTGCCTGTGAGACAGTCACCAAAGAGGGCTAGGAAGGATGACTCCTCGCCTTCCACCTCTTCTCCATAATTCTCTCCTACCCCCTCCTCCCCCCTCCCCCTCTGCCTCCTGTCCTGCATGCTGAACAACACTAAGGTAAGATAAAGTACCGTATTTTTTACATTTTCCACAGAATTTTTTCAGTGTTAAGTGGTTGTATTTGGGGGCCTGGAACGGATTAATCCTATAACAAACGAATGCTATAACGAACGAGGTTCTAGAACCAATTAGATTCGTTATAGCATACCCCACTGTACAGGAAACTATTTTTTTGCACGCCAAACAGCCACTCAACACACCAAGCTTGGTGTCAGTTTATTTACCAGTTCAGAGGAAGGAACATCTTGTTTGAGACTTCTCAACATAAACACTTTTTTTCTGTGTTTCCAGTCAAATTATTGGTCATTTTGAAATATATTTTACATATTGATAATATATAGCGCAGTGCAGTGTTGATTTAAAGAAAATAATCTTGAATTGCACCAAGTGAACTAAAATTTTATGGGTGAAATGGCGGCACTGGGTAACTTCTCTTCCACCCCAATGCCTTCTCTTCTCCCTTCTTCTCCACCCCCATTCTGATTCCCATCATCATCAACCAGGAGCCTTCTACATGCACACCTCAAAGTAAGTGTACTTTACTGCATTTATTTTTCGTTTGTATGTAATTTTCGGTGAGCTGGAACCAATTACCCAAAACCCATTGAAACAATAGTTTCGGTTAACGAGCAACCTTCTGGAATGAATTTTGCTCGTTAACCGAGGGACCACTGTATATTACAGGAGGACCTGGTTCCTGCTGGGGTTTGTACTGTCTCACTTAAATCTCAACTTATTTAATTGTGGATCAAGCTTTATTTTATCTCATGGTTGAGGAAGAGACTTTGGTAAGTTTGTGAAGTTTGTTGTAAAATTTGCTTCGTGTTACTAAATCTCAAGAGGACATTTCCTCCTCTGAATATTGATGTGGTAGATTTTTCTTGCTTATGTTAGAGATGTTTTTATATTGAGTCAACTAACTTCCTCTAGAGAGGATTTACTTATCATCCAAAGTTTCAGTGCCAGGAGAGTTGTTCCTCACTTATGATGACATCTTCTGTTTAGGGGGAGGGATGAGCTCAGGTGTCTGGAAAGAAAGTCACAATTTGGGTTATAAAAAGTCAGGGGGTATAAACACATCTTTTAAATAGCCTAAGAACCCCTGATCTAATGTATGAACATTTACAAGGTGAAAACAGTACTTTGAAGTATGTGGGTGATGTGTAATGGTATTTTAACTGATATGTTTGTTTTAATACATAGAATACAAATCTGTTGTGGAAGTACATTTAAAATATATACAGTACAGTTTACCCTCCAAATTTATGGGGGTTAGGTTCTCAAAATGGGTGCGAATCACCAAATCCTTGAATAACATTGGCTGACTGTTGGGGGGTACATTATTACTTGTGTACAAAGAAATGTATTATCCCTGGAAACGCCTTGGTTAAGGACATTCAGGTAACGGGCAAGTCGAAGGGAATGATTGAAACCCGCTTTTTGACGCATTCAATATTTATTGATGTGGTCAAAATCTGCAGAGAACAAGGCGTTCATTAGTATTACATGGTGATCTATCTGATACATAATTAGTTAGTCTCACACAATTTATCTTAATTATAATTGATTATTGAGCATAGTGACATGATACAAAGTTCATAACTATTAATCTTAGTTACACTTCATTCTGCATGGTCTTATTGCTCCAGATAAGGCAGGAACGAGTAGGCATAATTAGTCCACAATATTTCAGTAGTAAGGGGTATGTCATCACTTTGACTGTACTTACAAGTGCGGGTCAATGCGAATCATTATGATGTTCCAAGGGAAAATAGTACTGTGTAAATTGTTCCTGCACAAACTCGGCCAGGATTGGGAGTCGGTGTTCACCATTGCTAGCAGAGGGCTGGTCCTCACAGCATCACCGAGAGGGCGGAGGGCTGGTCCTCATAGCATCACTCGAGAGGGTGATCTGCCTGGAGGCCAGGCGGCCACTCCACCCTCTAAACCATACACTCAGCAGAATCAGGACATCTTGTCCGTAAACACCTCCCCCTCCCCCCTAATGTTTGTTCGGGTAAGGCAGCAAACGCCAGCACTTGACGCCAGCACTGACGCCAGCGGCGATAACACCCCAGCCGCCACATCTGGTGATGTCACAGGCCACGTGGGGGGACACTGTTCGGGTAAGGCAGCAAATGCCAGCACTGACGCCAGCGGCGATAACACCCCAGCCGCCACATCTGGTGATGTCACAGGCCACGTGGGGGGACACTTGGTCGCAGGCTGAAAGATATAATGTTTGTTCGGGTAAGGCAGCAAATGCCAGCACTGACGCCAGCACTGTAATTGAAGCCAGTGACGATAACAATCCCTTTATGTGTTTGCCCTTAGTACAGTTGTTACCGCCACAGTAAGATAAACAAGAAGAGAGAGGGATAGAGAGAGAGAAAGGGAGAGAGGAGAGACAGAGTGTTGACAACAAACTTTGCTGAGGTGTTAAATGTGCGCGCTGGCCAGAGATGGGGCTGGTAGCAGCTGTGTGACTGTCTGAGGGACAGTCTATCGCCGTCTACTGTAGAGGCATCACCTAGATTCTCGTCAGCCAATATCACCCGCAGGACATTAGATTTGTTCTCGTTGATCTAACCCTAGACCCCAAAACGTGAGTGTGATTGTGAACTGTTGAATCCTCTGAGAACTCGAAATAACTTTAATAAGTGTAATTATGTACTGTATATTGATCGTATTATTCAAACTGTGTCCTGATGTACCAGCAGTTGTTATATGTGAATTGTATTCAACAGGTTTTGACCGAAATTTCCATATTCAAGCTGAAAATTTTCTAAATGAGTCATAAGCGCCCCAAATGCTAACCCGCCAAAGCTCCACCCCTGCCATCCCACCTCCCAGTGTTCAGTTGCCACGTGGGTATTGTCGGAGTAACACCTGCCTCTCGTGTGTGTCAATTTAGTGCACTTGAACCTCTCTCATCCTCGTTCATAATGCCCAAACACAAACCAACTCTGTTCTGTACTGTACTCAAATGCAATAAATAATTACTAAAAGTTGTATGCCTAGTGCAAACTATAGCATGTCTATATTCAAATTAATCACTATCTTACAAGAATTCCAACAATGTAAATTATATTCTCCCAGGTCAGTTCAGTGACATTTTATAAGCGAAAAACTTAAACTCCTCTATATGACAGATAAGACGCACAGGCTTAATGTCCCCGCCGGCTGGTGAATACCTCACCTCACCCCCCACTTCTCCCCCCTGCTTGGCTGTCAACACAGCACCTCCACTTCCCAAGGGTGAAGGTAGTTTTAGGCTTAAAATTTTTATCTTATAAAATGTCACAGACTAAAGTTAGGAGAATATAATTTGCATTGCTGGAATCCTTGCAAGACAGCAAATAATTTGAATGTAGACATTGCACACCTCAAATAAAGGATAGGTGATTGTGGACCTGTATTACATTACAGCAGTGATTTATGAGTTCTGGTGTATATGGATAGACTCTCAGTCAGGGCAGGGGGAGGTGCCAGCATAAAGTAATGAAACACTAAGTTGAGAGGAAAGGGAAAGTGCATGGTGAGTGGTAGGGATGGAGTGAGGCAGACGAGAGGCAGGCGGTGTGCGGCACCAGTGCGACCACCCTCTCACATCAGCTGGTCGCTAGTAAACAGACCATTTCGCGTCCCTTAATTTTAGCCGTGTTGATTTATGAGTGCTTGCTGCACATATATCATTAGACCATATATTTTTCTCATATTTATTAGTTAATAAAAGTCTTTTTAGTATTTTGTGTTTCTCTTAAGTATCAAACTAAATTATTCCCTTGAAACAATACACCCCTGTGCTTAGATTTAGTGCGAATTCGATTTAAAGCGATCTCTCTCGGAACGTATCTCGCGTATTGGTTATTAATAAGGACTGAGTCACATAGATAATGTACTGAAGTCTATACAGTATTTATCTTTAAGAAAGAACAATTTATTTGCTTCATTGTACAGAACTTGATAACAATCTGATGTTGTGACTTCACTCTTCCTTCACTTGCTGAACAGTTTTGTGGGATTCATTGTTCTTTGTGGAAAATAATTTTTTCCTCCCAAAGTATTGACACTTGGAATGACACAAGGTAGTTCCTGCAAGATGAACATAATATTTTTTTCCACATTCTGACGAAAAGGTGAAGCAGCTGAGAGGATACAGGGTATACCTTCAGTCTTAAGGGTTGGTCGTTAGTACCCAGAACATCCCCAGTCAATCCAGCAGTTAATGAGTACTGTAGTGATGCCACTTAGGGAAATAAGGCTATTTGAGTACAGTACTGAGCTAGCCAAGTTGTCTCCTTGGGTAAGTATCTACCAGTAAGTCTTCCATCAACTGTGGAATTCTGAAAACTTCAACATTGTAATGCTGTTCACTTTATTTCAGACATAAAGGTGCGAGTGGTCGGATGTAAGAAAGAAATATTATGGTAGCATCAGGAGGCCATCCCACACAAACTTCTTCCACCACAACCTAGTATTAAAGCTCTATAAAACAGGAGGCAGAACAATTCCTCACAACTGTACAATAAGTCAGTACAGTATGAGGGTTAGTGAACATCTTCAGGAGAACATTGTAAGCAAGATCAAGGTAAATTGTCAACTCGCCAAGCCTTAAGTTACAAATACTAAAGTCAAGTTGGTGTTCTAGAAAACAGTAAGAATAAAAAGAAGGTTCACACAAGTGAATCTTTCTCCTGAAAATACCAGTTAAGTGGTGCACTGTGTTATATATTGTCTAATTACAGTATGATGAGTGTTGCAGTGTTTCTACCTAAACAACTACCTTGTGACTCTTGTGCTTGTGTACACTGCTGATAAAAGTTCCAATATATAAATGTGACAAGTGGTTGTCTGCTGTGCTTGTGTATTGGTGAGACAAAGTTCACTTGTGGTAAATATTTCTCATACAATATTTAGTTCAAAAGTTACCCAAACGTGTGTACACTGAAGGAAATATTTTCTTATATGGAGTGTTGTTAAGTGTTTAAAAGATGGCCCAGTTTATAAATCAAGTAGCTGGACATGGTGGCCAATATAATTATGTGTGTGTACAGTGTGGTGAATTATTTTACAGTAATGATTCTTTGAAGATGCATACCTGTATGGCTGAACACATTGATGAGATAAATATTAAGTGTGAAGAAGTTGATGAAAGTTTTAACAGTAACTATGATGTAACACAACATGTGACTGTTGATGAGAAAGATATTAAGTGTGAAGAAGTTGATGAAAGCCTTAGCAGTAACTATGATGTAACACAACATGTGCCTGTTGATGAAAAAATTCGTAAATGTCTAGAAAGTTGTATAAGTTATAACAAAAAGGAACAAATAGTTGTACACACTGGTGAGAAGAATTATAAGTGTGAAGAGTGTGGGAAAAGTTATTCCACAAAGAGTTATCTGAAAAAGCATATGGTTGTACACACTGGTGAGAAGAATTATAAGTGTGAAGAGTGTGGGAAAAGTTATTCCACAAAGAGTTATCTGAAAAAGCATATGGTTGTACACACTGGTGAGAAGAATTTTAAGTGTGAAGAGTGTGGTAAAAGTTATTCCAGAAAGAGCGCTCTGATGGAGCATATGGTTGTACACACTGGTGAAAAGAATTTTAAGTGTGAAGAGTGTGGTAAAAGTTATTCCACAAAGAGCTGTCTGAAAAAGCATATGGTTGTACACACTGGTGAGAAGAATTTTAAGTGTGAAGAGTGTGATAAATGTTATACCACAAAGTACAATCTAAAGAAGCATATGGTTGTACACACTGGTGAGAAGAATTTTAACTGTGAAGAGTGTGGTGAAAGTTATTCCAAAATGTACAATCTAAAGAAGCATATGGTTGTACACACTGGTGAGAAGAATTTTAAGTGTGAAGAGTGTGATAAATGTTATTCCAGAAAGAGCCATCTGATGGAGCATATGGTTGTACACACTGGTGAGAAGAATTTTAAGTGTGAAGAGTGTGGTAAATGTTATTCCACAAAGAGCAGTGTGAAAAAGCATATGGTTGTACACACTGGTGAGAAGAATTTTATGTGTGAAGAGTGTGGTAAATGTTATTTCAGAAAGAGCGCTCTGGTGGAGCATATGGTTGTACACAAAGGTGAGAAGAATTTTAAGTGTGAAGAGTGTGATAAATGTTATTCCAGAAAGAGCGCACTGATGGAGCATATGGTTGTACACACTGGTGAGAAGAATTTTAAGTGTGAAGAGTGTGGTAAATGTTATTCCACAAAGAGCTATCTGAAGAGACATATGGTTGTACACACTGGTGAGAAGAATTTTAAGTGTGAAGAGTGTGATAAATGTTATTCCAGAAAGAGCCATCTGATGGAGCATTTGGTTGTACACACTGGTGAGAAGAATTTTAAGTGTGAAGAGTGTGATAAATGTTATTCCAGAAAGAGCGCTCTGATGGAGCATATGGTTGTACACACTGGCGAGATGAATTTTAAGTGTGAAGAGTGTGGTAAAAGTTATTCCACAAGGAGCAATCTGAAGAGACATATGGTTGTACACACTGGTGAGAGGAATCTTACTTGAAAGTTGTAAGGAAAGATCTTACATAAAAATGATCTGGAGAACTGTATGGTCTTGAATGTTGGTAAGAATTATTTCAAGTGTAAATAATGGATTACTTATTTCCAAAAAAGACCAACTGGAAATAATCATCTGATGGCTGTGTTGGTTATCCTTGGTCAAATATTCTTACTGTTTACTATTGTTTGTATACCTATACAGTACTGTATATTTGTTGTATACCTGTACAGTCAGTCCTCAACTTACGACGGGGTTCCGGACCGACGACCAGGTCATAAGTCGAATTGGTTGTAAGTCGAAAATGCGAAAATAATACATAGAAATTCTAAAATGAAATACAGTACAGTAAAAGTAATCAATAATTAAAAATTATTAAAGTGTTACTGTGAACTTACCTTTAATGCAATCAGCTGAATGCACACGGGACCTCAATAATTTTTTAATTGTTGATATCGTCGTGTGAGAGAAGCCTAGGTCACGTGAAATGGTTGCTACCGTTTTTTCATTTTCATATTGCATTATTATTTTCATTTTCATCTCAAAAGTAATTGACTGTCTCTTTTTCTTCTGAGCACCACCAGAACTCTCACTTTTAAGCTTCCAGTTATTTTAAAGGGAATTAGAAAAAAAAAATTTGTCAGTACACAGTGCGATCACAAACACCAACGACGGCCAAACACCAACTGAGCAGCTACGGCATGGATGCTGTAAACCACGAGGCGGCCCAGCCCACACTGTCGTGCGGAACGAAAACATTTCGGTACTAGAAAATACTTAATTTGAAAATTATTTTATACGACTGCAGTGGTCGTATGTCCGGGTAGTCGTAAGTCGAGGAGTACCTGTACTGTATATTTGTTGTATACCTGTACTGTATATTTGTCGTATACCTGTACTGTATATTTGTTGTATACCTGTACTGTATATTTGTTGTATACCTGTACTGTATATTTGTTGTATACCTGTACTGTATATTTGTTGTATACTGTACCTGTACTGTATATTTGTTGTATACCTGTACTGTATATTTGTTGTATACCTGTACTGTATATTTGTTGTATACCTGTACTGTATACCTGTACAGTGAGTTCTGCTATAACGCGTGTTTTGATAACGCGAATTTGCTCTAACGCGATTTATGAATTAGGAACGATATTTGTATAACGTGAACGCTTGTTTGCTATAACGCGATTTTTGCTTACTATTTCTCCAATTTTGTGGTACAGTGGGGTATGCTATAACGAATCTAATTGGTTCTAGAACCTTGTTCGTTATAGCATTCGTTTGTTATAGGATTAATCCGTTCCAGGCCCCCAAATACAACCACTTAACACTGAAAAATATAATATAAAATTGTAAAAATTGTAAAAAAGTGCATAAATATGCATCTAAACCCCTGAAATAAAGAATATCATTAATATTTGTAATAATAAAACAATAAATTAGAAAAAAAAATAAATAAATTATGTTCGTTGTAGGAGTTTCATTCGTTATAGCATTCTCAATTTTATAGGTAAAACCGTTCGTTATAGGAATATTCGTAGTAGGATCCGTTCGTTATAGCATACCCCACTGTATTAACTGTGAATATTGTAAAGAAGAATATCAACAAGAAGCGTTCTGGTGATAGAATTCCCGGTGATGGTCGTAAAAGAAAGGATATAACACTTGAAGAGAAGCTCGATTTTATCAACCTCAAAATCACCCTTCTCCCCCATCAAGTAAAGTGTTACATTTACTGTATGATTTCATTATTAGATATGAATGTAACATTTATTTAGACTGTGCTATCCTTTGTGTTAGGCGAACTAAATTTTTTCGATTTCGAGTAATCTGCACCTAATCCTATTTTCTCCATAAGCCCTGTTATTTCTATTACGCGATTTTCTATAACACGATATTTTACAAGAACACAATTATCGCATTATAGCCGAACTACCTGTACTGTATATTTGTTGTACACTTGCACTGTATATTTGTTGTATACCTGTACTGTATATTTGTTGTATACCTGTACTGCATATTTGTTGTATACCTGTACTGTATATTTGTTGTACACTTGCACTGTATATTTGTTGTATACCTGTACTGTATATTTGTTGTATACCTGTACTGCATATTTGTTGTACACCTGTACTGTATATTTGTTGTACACCTGTACTGTATATTTGTTGTATACCTGTACTGTATATTTGTTGTATACCTGTACTGTATATTTGTTGTATACCTGTACTGCATATTTGTTGCATACCTGTACTGTATATTTGTTGTACACCTGTACCTCATATGAAGAGGTAAGGTAAGAGTTTATAGTAATAGTAAAGTAAAGTATAGTAAAAAAAAAAAAGTTTATAGTAATAGAGTATAGTAGTATAGTGAGAGGAGATGGTAGCGTGTCTCGGTGTGATGCTAACACTGTATATTAACACAGGCTCAGCACAAGTGTAGTATATAAAACACCAATGTGTGTTACAGCTTTATTTTACGAGTTCATTAGGGGGAATTAATGGGGCATTTGTACACAGTGTATGATAGACTATGATATTCTCGTATAACCTCGCAAATAGAATGGGCACTTCACTAAGTCGATCGTTGGGGAGATTCGGGATTGCCGCACTTCTACCGTCTACGCAGCCGGCACTTACTTTTACATGTTGATTCGACGGCACTCTGTCAATGGACCCGGCTGAGACCTCGTAACACTTAGTGGCAGACTTCTCTCGAGATGGACTGGGGACGTTGTTGCTGGCCCTTCTTGGTTACAAGACTCTGTCGTGAGGCCCGTTACAGGTCCTGTATATTAGGAGAGGAGCAGGCAGATGACCACTAATGCTGACTGGGTGGTGGCGAGGGGTACCCTTACATCTGACCTCGCTAATGTAAGGTCAGGTCTGCACTTTTTTCGGAGCTATAAGTTGTATATTTTGGAGGAATCTTCTGCTGACTGCGTGCTTGTTAACATAGTTGGTGGGGTCATGTGACTGTGATTTGGCCCCTTGACCTGGGCTGTGAGGGGTCGTCTTTGCATTTGACCTCGCTAATGTAAGGTCAGGTCTGGACTTCTTCTGAGATGTAAGCTGTGGTCTGACAACCCATCACTACAATTTGTTGTATACCTGTACTGTATATTTGTTGTGTACCTGTACTGTATATTTGTTGTGTACCTGTACTGTATATTTGTTGTATACCTGTACTGTATATTTGTTGTATACCTGTACTGTATATTTGTTGTATACCTGTACTGTATATTTGTTGTATACCTGTACTGTATATTTGTTGTATACCTGTACTGTATATTTGTTGTATACCTGTACTATATATTTGTTGTATACCTGAACTGAATATTTGTTGTATACCTGTACTGTATATTTGTTGTATACCTGAACTGAATATTTGTTGTATACCTGTACTGTATATTTGTTGTATACCTGTACTGTATATTTGTTGTATACCTGTAGTGTATATTTGTTGTATACCTGTACTGTATATTTGTTGTATACCTGTACTGTATATTTGTTGTATACCTGTACTGTATATTTGTTGTATACCTGTACTGTATATTTGTTGTATACCTGAACTGTATATTTGTTGTATACCTGTACTGTATATTTGTTGTACAGTCAACCCTCGCTTTACGCGGTCCCATTCCGCCACATTTACGCTGCACTTGGAAACGAATGCCTCGCTACCATGTACCCTTTATATGAGACTGAGCAGGAGCGCACAAGGCCCCAGTCATCAAAACATTACCGAAGTTCTTCACACGCCACCCACCACTGCCGGCCCAAGTCAGTGATAGTGATAATTATAGTGAGGATATGGACTTGAGGGGTTTGACAAAGAGGCCCTGCAAGCCTCTGTGGTGGGTAGTGATACAATTGATAAGAGACAGGTGAGGGCCAAAATCTGCCCTCTGCCTCGGAACCAACCCCCATCCTCATGTGCCCAGCCATCTTTTCTACTAATGTAAGTGTTAAAAAACCTAATATTATTGGAATTTCTCTTAATTAGTAATTTGTGTGCATACCATCATAAAATAAAAAGTTATTTTTACTACAACGAGGTATTGTCTAAAAAGTGGAGTTTGGGGGTTGGCCGGTCTGTATTTCAACCTATATGTTTATGTTGTTCATTTCCACGCGCTTTCACTTTACGCCGGGTCACTGTAGTTGAATTAACAGCTGAAAGTGAGGGTACACTGTATACCGTACTGTATATTTGTTGTATACCCACTGTATATTTGTTAATAATCAAAATACTGTATATTTGTTGTATACCTGTACTGTATATTTGTTGTATACCTGTACTGTATATTTGTTGTATACCTGTACTGTATATTTGTTGTATACCTGTACTGTATATTTGTTGTATACCTGTACTGTATATTTGTTGTATACCTGTACTGTATATTTGTTGTATACCTGTACTGTATATTTGTTGTGTACCTGTACTGTATATTTGTTGTATACCTGTACTGTATATTTGTTGTATACCTGTACTGTATATTTGTTGTATACCTGTACTGTATATTTGTTGTATACCTGTACTGTATATTTGTTGTATACCTGTACTGTATATTTGTTGTATACCTGTACTGTATATTTGTTGTATACCTGTACTGTATATTTGTTGTATACCTGTACTGTATATTTGTTGTATACCTGTACTGTATATTTGTTGTATACCTGTACTGTATATTTGTTGTATACCTGTACTGTATATTTGTTGTGTACCTGTACTGTATATTTGTTGTATACCTGTACTGTATATTTGTTGTATACCTGTACTGTATATTTGTTGTGTACCTGTACTGTATATTTGTTGTACACCTGTACTGTATATTTGTTGTATACCTGTACTGTATATTTGTTGTATACCTGTACTGTATATTTGTTGTATACCTGTACTCTGTATTTATTGTATACCTACACTCTATATTTGTTGCATACCTGTACTGTATATTTGTTGTATACCTGTACTCTGTATTTGTTGTATACCTACACTCTATATTTGTTGCATATCTGTTCTCTATATTTGTTTTATGCCTGCACTGTATATATACATGCTCAATTTTGTAAGCTTGTGTGATGAATTTACTAAATAAATATATATGTATCTGTCTGTCTGTCTATCTGTCCACCTGCCAGAATATTGCGATGGCACCAAGTGTAAGCTCCTTCAAGACAAGACTTAACCAGCACTGGAGCAGGTACAGATACATGCAGGAGCCAATGCATGCCCAGTACTTGCCAACAGCGTGTAACAGGTAATTTTACAATAAATATGCACTTTTTATTTAGTTATTATTCATTACTTTTACCTTTTCACTTTTATCCTCTTCACTACTAATCGCCTCCCTAGCCACTTGGCTGGTCGGTCATGTCTCTGTAATCTCAAGCTGTGAATCATTATGACTGCTGTCACTGTCCTTTACATCATCTCTAATATCATCCATAAATTCATCAACAACATACTGCTGTGTAATAAACTGTATATCATTACCATATCACAATTGTTCCTGCTCCTTCAAAACATGGCTATGGGTGCATAATACAATGAATATTGTTGACTAATGCTAAACCTCACTGATGTAATTTTTATGTTATTAATATATTTTTACCCAGTAGTTTTATAGATCCCTGTCTCAGTTATTTCTTTAGAAAACAAAATTAGAAGTGAAGGTTAAGTTAGGTGTAAAGAACACATGAATTATGTAAAGTATACTGTATATAATTAAAGAGCTGAAACTTTTCAGTTATCAACATCAGTGTCCATAATTGCAGAACCAACTTTTTGTCTATTGCTGTTACTGTAAACGCCTTGGTTAAGGACGTTCAGGTGACTGGCCAGTCGAAGGGAATGATTGAAATG